GTGAAACCTAACTGCTTGAATGAAGACGCTTGATTATTTGTGTACTGTTTATATACACATGTGTATATAGTACATGTGTATAAACGTACATAAGTGTGTGCGCTTTTCTTGTAATTATTTTCCACCATCGTGTTTTTAATTAGTGTTTCCATTTTTTTATTAAAAAATAATTAATAAAAAGTATCCTATCATTTTTCATGATCGGAATTATGAATTTTTATTTAAAATTCAGTCCGAGAATGGAGTGACGACTCCACCCCGGCAATTTTGACATTTCAGTTTGTGCACCTTTGTCGTTTTCACTCTATACCAGTTGAACAAAGCGACGTAGACCAAAAATGTCCGTATAAATTTTGTAGCTAAGGGTTCAACGGTATACTACATTTTATTAAAATTATTTGTTTTGTTGTTAAAAATTGGCACTGAAAAAATAGTAACGACTTCGCCCTGGTCTCCCCTATAATATAACTACTTTTCAAGTAGTTCTATCCATTGAAATTTTTGTAATAACCTGAATTCAGCATTATTCAGACTAATATATTCAAAATGCATCCGTTGGAGATTAAAAATTTTAATTAAATAGAACTTCTTGAAAAAAATCTTGCCATGCTTCAAGAGGTCTCAAAAATTTCATAATTTTTAATAGCATTTTTATTTGTTTTTAATTTAAAAAATGGGCAAACTTTGTGAAAAACGGCTTTTTCTTTTTAACATTGTATAATACAATTTTAAACTATCCAAAAATTAAAAAGAATGTATACATCATATATCATTTTAAACTGAACAAATTTTATCCGTATCGTTTTTCGATAGGATTGAATATTTCGAAGATGTTAATAACGTTTTAAAAAAGTAAAGTTACCAAAAAATTCAATTTTTACAAAAATTACACTGTCGGAAATATTGATCGTAGGCCCAAACAAAAAATACATGTTTTTTCTTTTTCAGAACTTCTTGAAAAAAAATTGTCAAAATTATTAGAGTAGGTCAGAGTCAAAACATTAAAATTTCAACAAGAATGTTCCATATAAATATATGTAAACTGAATTTAACAACATAAAATTTGATAGGTATTGCATTAGAAAATAATATACTTACCAGACAGCCGAGTATCCGGCGCGAAATCGTCGTGGAAGACATGATTGTCAATGTTTGAGATTCGCCTCGACTCATGAATCGATCGCCTGTCGCCGAGTATTCATATAGAAGCGTTCATGGTCACTTCCAAATTAAAAGTCGTTTGCGAATTTACATTGAGCGTAATAAAAAATTGTGTTAGTTCTATAAAACACATGACGATTATACCAAGGTGTTATCGTTTGCGTGAGTGAATGTGCCAAATTCAATTTATTCTTTACGATACCACCAATTGACACATGTGAAACTATAAAATAGTGACATATGTGAAACTATAAAAGACTGCTTTGAGCTTTCGAGATCGAAGTACATAAATTACGCGCAAGAAATATTACATGTAGATTCAGATTAGCTATAAATAATGCAAAGCTCAATATTCTCTTTCTTCTCTAATGTTCATTGAATTGTAATGTTTTTAATTGTAATAAAAAAATAATTGTAGAAAAATAAAGAATATTAATACTAGGTATTTATTATCTTCGAAAAAAAGTGAATTAAAGTGAATTAAAAAAATATTTATTTTAGTGCATTAATTTCTTCCTAAAGTGATAAATTAAAGCCAATTTTATAAAATAATTATATACTGTAGTAAACGTTAAATGATAAAGCATTTTATTAGGAAATAAATTTTTCTTTTGAAGGTCTCTGTTTACTCACTGCATCTTGGATTGATGACGTCAGAAGTGAGAAAATATATCATAAAAATTCTTGCAACGTACATCAAAATAAAAATGTTTTTCAATTAAATAGCGTCTTAGATAGCAGGATGATGTCTAAAGACGTTTTAATGGCATATTATTGACGTTAGAGACGTTATTAATGTCATTTCTTGAGGTTTGTAATCGGTAAAATTGATTTTTAAAATATACCTAAAATCCCCATTTTGTTCGGATAATCAGTAAATAACTCATCCCAGGTTTTTCCGCACAAACTTTAATAGTATGTTCTGTGAGCAAAAATAAAAAAAATATTATATAAATATAGATGCTTTAAAATGCTTTATTTAAAAAATGCTTTATTACATAAAAAGTTATAACAAAAGTACGAAATGTGTAAGAAACAATTGCATTTCAAAGTGCCGCCTGCTCATGTCGATACAAGTTATACGATATTATATAATATTGAAAATTTATCATCTTAGAAATTTAAACCCGTCAAACGTAATTGCAAATAAACATTATTGGTAAAGACTGTGTTATACGCCATTCTCTAACAGAAAAGTTCTTGCATTTCCTGTATATATAAACCGTACACAGTATGAATATCCGTATGTTTTTCGTTTGTGAAAAGTCACCGCATTTTGGAATAATATTCTATACTTATAATATAGCTAATATTCTATACAATCAGTACTATTTCAAAACTTGTACACTTTTATCACGACGAATTAGTACAGACCTTCATATAAAATGTATTTGTGCCTTACTTTTATCTCTTTTCCTTAATATTATCAGGAGTTACCCATTATAATGTTTCTATACAAATTGTAGTACTGGTCAGTGATTAATTTCACATGGAATATTCAGTTCAGTACTTGAATATTAATATTAAAATACTGGCCAGTGATTTATTACACATGGAATCTTTGGTTCAGTACTTCAGTACTAACATTGAAATACTCATCAGTAATTCAACACAAGTATTTATTACACAAGTATTTTTCACCTAGTATTAAATGCTTTCTCATCAGAAATTTAATACTAAGTATTCAATACTCGTCCTGTATTAAATACTACTTTCATAAATTACTGACCAGTAATAAAATACTATGCAATACTTGGATCACAGTGATTCAAGTACTAATAAATACGAGAATAAATACTTAATTTTAGTATTATTAATACACAAAATAAGTATTTATTACTAACCAGCTAATAATACTTTTTTGTAAGAGAAGGTACTGCTTGTTACTAGTATTTATAAGTTTTTATGAGTAAAATGAAATAAAATGGAAGTTTTAATCGATCCCCGTAGGGTTACAATTCTCATCCATCACTATACCCTTCTTCTCTCACTTAACCCTTTGGACTAACGACTTAACGTCTCTTCCCGAAAGACAGAGCCCAGTTTGTTCCGCACAAGAGTCTTTCTTGCACGGAGGGCGTAGCTTTCGGAAAATAAATTCCATGTTTACGTGCTCAAGTGGACTCGAATCTGGTTTCTCAGATTACGAGTTTGGCGCTCTACCACTAGACCACACTGCCGCCTATAAGTTTTTATGATTACCTTCAATCATTTCAAATAGTAAGCATGACTAGAAGAAGCGGATAAGATAAACATCATTGAGCGGCGCCCGTATGACTTATGTATACGACGTGTACTTCACTTATTTATGGCAACCGTTATTATTTCTTTAATACAAAATTTTAACTTTTTCTACAACTTTCTAATAGCATTTTGAGGCCTATATTTATATAATTAACATTTTTTTCTTATTTTTGCTTATATAGAACATACTACTAAAGTTTGTAGTAAAAAATTTGAAATACCCTGTATGTCGAATTAAATTGTGCCTGATCAAGGACGAAAACATCAAAGCTGTTTGACAGCTGCCGAATTGAAATAAATATTTGCTTTCACATATTATGTTAACAAAACGGGTCTTCGGATATATTTTAACACTCTGTGACAGTTATTTTAAATATAAAAACATTACACTATAAAAAGAAAAATAAGGCTGTATGTTGCAAGAATAATTTAGCTTTTTAACGCCATTTTTCACGCCTTATAGTTCACATCGCATTTTGTCAACGTGGACTTGGTAATCGAGCTAGCAGGAGCATTAAAAAGAGAAAGTTTCTGATATCTATGAGAAACTATTTCTATTGAAAATACATTAATTGCATCAATTATATTGCTAAGAGCAATTACATTATGCTATAGATAAAAGATGTATTTATTAATTTGTTATTGGACATTTTCTTCACTTTTAATTTTTTAATAGCAGTATTACCGAACAAATAAAACTGGAATAAGCAAACACATCCTAATAAAACACACGAATAAAATGTGCATACCGTAATCAAAAGAATCATTTATTTATAAAAACAAGACAAAATCAAGTATATTAAACATTCACTTTCTTCGAAAATTTATTGATGTTAACAATTAAGTCGAGATAGATCTAATGTCAATAATTATACAAACATTATTTAATAGTATAGTTTTTCTTTCGTTAAGCACAAAATGTGACGCCGCGAGCTAATAAATAGCATCGAGAATATCCTTTCTACGAATCTTGATTCTGATGTTCGCGTAATCATTCAGTTCATCGTCGTACGACATTGTTGTCGTGACAGGACGTTGCATCATCCTTCTACCGGATGTATCTTTCTTGTCGGTCTTCACCTGGGTATCTTTCGACAGAATTATCTTCAGGGAGGCCATCATGTCCGCCACGATGTCCCTCGTCATGATTTCTTCGTCTAACATATTCATGCTTGGTGCGTCTCTGGTGAGCGCCCTTCGGGTGATTTTATCGAGCTGGTCTGCCACTTGGAACGCGGACGGGGGTATACCTCTTCTGCTGGGTGACACGAGAGGTGTTATAGCGTCCTCGAGATCCTTCATTATGCTCTGCGAGCTGGTAATGTGATTCGTATTGTTGTTTAAGCGAGCGTCTATTATCTTCCACAATTCCTGAGCCACTTCCTGCGGGTCCACGTTCACGATGATGTTCACATTCTTGTTTACGTTTTTATTCTCGATGACCGGTTTTGCGTTCTGTAAATTACCAGTCGTATACCTTCAGTTTTGGAAGAAAATATCAGCCGTCAATGGAATGTCAGAGTACATAAAATAATAGATAAAATCGATTTTTTTATAACAAAATAAATTGTAATTTTTTTATACACAGTCAAGTAACGCGATAAATTTTTTAAACTATTAAAATTAAATTATGATAAAATGCCTTTGATTAAATATTGATTTTAATTGTGTAAAATAGTTATTATATAATAATGTGTTACTATAGCCCATAACGTCCACCGTGAAATTAATTTATTCTAGTGGAAATTATTATACGTAATATTCTTAGGTAATCAGGATAAAAATTAAAATTTTTTTATTTATTTCTTAATTTTTTCCTTACCTCTTCTGCCGAAGATTGTTCTGAAGAATACGCCTGGAAAGATTTACATGCAAATTACAGCATCATTAAATCTAATTTGTTACACAATTTTATAAATATTTAATAATTTTTTACCTTTTAAATTTACAATATACAATGAATTTGTAATATACAATGGATTACTGATACTCTGTTACTAGAGGATTATTAAGATTAATAACAATAATTACAAAATTTGTAATTTGATTGTTATTATACATATATATATATATATATAAGTAATCCATAATAGAGATACGAAAGGTTTGTTTACTAGTTCTCAATGTCATGTTATCGTTATTAACTGCTTGTTTTGCTGTCCTTACTTGGACACCGGCCACCACCAGGGTGGTCCACAATATTGACAGGCACATAATTGTCATAACGCAATTGTCACACAAGTAATTCTCAGCGCGTCTCAGAACGGCGAATGCATATACAATAAACCGACTTTTTATATGCGATAACCCGACCGATGCCGGTGGAACTCGCGCTGCAATGCAACGGCGCAATATCAAGACCTGTGATGGCGATTAAAGATCCGTGCCGTTTAATTCGCGATAGCCCGTAATCATTCGCGTGATAAGTCCGGAGCCATCCGCTTATAGGCAATCAGTTTGTGGGCGCACGCGATGCCGATCGATGAGACGAAATGCCAAGGGCCCAATTCCCCGCGCAACAGCCATTACCTTCTTGCGAATTGCATACCACGATCGTAATTTGCAACATAAAGATTGCTAAATTAACACAATGCTATTTAAACTCCTTGGCTGTTAGGCGAAAAAAATACTTTTAACAAAAGAGTTAATAGAATTATTTAAAAAAGTGCTTTCAGGGGGTTTTTTGAGTCGCTGAATCTAAATCTGAGATCAAAATTTCAAAATTTTTAATAGCGGAAAAATTTATAAAAATTCTTATAAATTAATTTTTACGCAAACCGAGCGGATATTTTAAAGTTTTTGGCTGTCATATTAAATACATTATTTAAAATTAACAAATTTCAATTTTAAAATTTCAATTTTAAACACGTATAAGTTATCGGCTTCAAAAACCCTTCAAAACTTTTATTGCAATTAAATCATATTTTAAATTTTTTGCTCATTATATTGAATTCTTGAATTTTCATTATGAATTTGAAATGAGCGATTTAAAAACTTTTAAATATAAATTTTTATGCAAATCAAACAATTTTTTGCATGTTTGGTCAGTCATATTAGATCCGCACTTTAAATTTGACAATTTTGATTTTACATTTAAATTTAGCGACTCTAAAAACAAAAAATATAGGGCTTTGTTCTAATTGTTTCGTTTAATAAAAGTATAATCTTGAATACGGATTTTTCCGTCACGAAGTTCTGGCGAGAAGTCTGTTCTTAATGGAAAAAGCCACATTCAAGAAAAGGTATTTTTCGTAAATTTCGTTTATTGACTCCCTGCAGGGTTGCAATTAAAGCGTTTTGTAGGGACGTTCTCAACCCTTTTACTCAATCTCATCCAATACTACCCTTCTTCTCCTCTCACTTTAACCCTTTGGACCAACGGCTTAACATCTCTTCCAAAAGACGGAGCCCAGTTTGCTCCGCACAAGAGTTTATCTTGCACGGAGGGGCGCAGCTTTCGGAAAAACATTCCATGTTTACATGGCTCTAGTGGACTTGAACCTGGTTCCTCAGATTACGAGTCTGGCGCTCTACTACTAGACCACACTGCCGCCTCGAAAAGGTACTTTTATTCTACAGTTTTCACTTCTTTTAAGGATATTTTCGTATACACTATACAAATATATTTAAATATAATAGATATAAAATCTCTGCGCACTTAAGGCCAGTTTCTCCGCACAAACTATAGAGAGAGAGACTCCTCTCTCGTTAATTTCTCGTGCGGGGGTGCAGCTTTATTGGAATATTAAAATTCCTGTGATCAGATGGACTCGAATCCGGTTCTTCGCAGTTACGAGTCTGGCATTTTGCCACTAAACCACACTACCACCCATTGACAGTCAAAAGATTAATTCGTTTTGACCGCCTGCGCCGTTATATCTATATATTCCAATATTTAATTATTAACAGTCTTTTTTTAAATAAATTAGCGTTATTAAAAACTGGGACGCACATATGGATTGAGAATTGCAGTTTTTTTTGTGCTGCTCTTGTACTGACGGTTATTGTTCTCTTGATTGCCTTTATTTCTGTATTTTTTTCTTGTACAACTAAAAGTATTTCTTATTATTATTATTATTATTATTATTATTATTATTATTATTATTATTATT